ATGTTTGAGATGCCTAAGCTGCCCACTTATTGCTGTTTGTCAATAGGAGTGGCAAGAAGGGGCCAGGCCAAAAAAAGCTTTGCTTTAAAACCCATGAGATCTATTAAAAGCCTTGCATAAGGCATTTTTAGATAAGAACCGCTTGCTAAATCTTTTTACCTTGCACTATCTGTCCTCCATTTTTCTCCATATATTGCGTTTATAGACATCAAGCATATATCTTTGTAAACTAAGTAATCTATGTATGTAATCCGAGTATTCTATCTATGTAATCTGAGTAAACTGTCTATGTAATCTGAGTAATCTATCTATACTGAATAATCTGAGTAATCTACTGAGTAATCTTAGTAATCATGTAACCTGAGTAATCTATGTATGTAATAGAGTAATCTATGTATGTGTTTGAGTATCTGAGTAATCTATTTATGTAATCAAGTAATCTGAGTAATCTCAGTTCTCGATGTAATAAAATAATTTATGTAATCAGGACTAGAGTTTGACGGATATGTCTGACCTGTGGGGATCCCCACAGGTTTATTCTGGTGCTCCTCTTGTTCAGTCATTCAACCTCTATATGATCACATGACGATTAGATTAATAAATTTTTTACTAGCAACGTATCCTATCACAATTACCCAGATGATACTCAGATCTATGTTTTACTGACGGTGGGTGAACATGGACCTGTGGATACTCTGTACCATTCTATCAATGGTAATGGTGTGTTTTTTTGTTGTTGCTGTTTTTTACCAGTGTCATGAGCTAAATGAGGACTAAAATTGTTTGTCATCTGTTTGTCATCAGCCATCAGTTTCGATTACACTGGTAGTAAGACAGCGTTTGTCAAAGTATGTAAACAGTAATCTGAGTACTTGAGTACTGTAATAATCAGGTAATTGGAGTAATAGAAGTAATCTGAGTGCTCAAGTAATCAGAATAATCTGAGTAACCTAGTAATCGAGTACTCTATGAAATCTAATAAAGTCATCCATGTAATTCAGTAATCTATGTTATGCAGAAATCTACTGTATGTAATGTAGATTATGGATTGATGAATGGGTTTGGATAAGTTAGAATAACCTTTACCTAGCTGTTGCTGTTATGGTGTGCTTTGAAAACAAAAGCAGCTCATGATTAATTCATCTGCTGTAATTGCTCTTCTGCTGTCATTGCAAAGTCTGTTTTTGTTTTTTTGTATCGTTGTCATGAGCGAAATGAGGATGACATTTCTTTGTCCGGCCATCTGTTAGGATTATAGTGGTTGAAAGACACCCTCTGTCAACATCTTTCTTGTAAAACCTTAAATGTGGGCACAGCTCGGCAGGAATACATTTCTCTTTGCTTAATACTAGAAAAAAGATAGCAAAATCGTTACAGCATCGCATTTCAGTAATTTTCACAAACTTTATACAATAGTTTTCTGAAATGAAGTTTAGGGGCAAAGTGAAATTGGAAGAGTCCCCTCAGCATCATCTGCATTCAATAACCCAATCATGCGCCTCTGCTTCAGTCAATCACCATCAATTCTTCTTCCCCTTTAGCCAACCATCATGTAAGGATCTACTTAAAGCTCTCCATCCACAGGCTCTCCTTGTCTTCAGCTGACCTTCAAACTCCCTCCATCCCATTTCCTCCATCATTCTCTGCAACTCTGTGTAGCTTACTTCTCCTCTGGCCTCCACTCCACCATCAGTGTCCAGATCCTACAATGGTCATCCAAGCAAATCAGTTCAGTTGCTTTTATTTGTCCCAGTATGGGCAGTTTTTGTGCAGTAGCAGTACACCTTTCACACACACGATCACATTTTACAAATAAAAATAAAAGAAAAACAAGAAACACATAAAAACCGAAGCTTCTATGTCTGGGTCAGAGTGCCGAAGAACTGTCAGATTAATTAATAAATCTCTCTAATTGCCACTTTTCTTTTTGTGTGATTATCTCCAGGCTGAAATCCTTGTTTGTTTATCCTAACAGAACTAAGTTCCATAGGGTAGGGTTATTATGAAAAGATCTTTTCCTAAACTTTAACTTCCAGATCATGCCTTCAATAGTCCCCTCTAATACGTTTTTTTCCCTTTAATGTCATTTTTCCTCCACTAATTTAATCTTTTTCTTGAGTCTACCACTCTCTCTTGCAAAAGAAAATCAAACCACCCCACTGGTTGCTTACCTAAGTATCAGAGGCTCCAACTACTTTTTTCAGTTACGTATAAGAAAATACCAAATTCACAGGACTTGGTTGTTATCTTAGTTTTAGAGATTTTTTTTTCTTTTCAAAGAGACCTTTGAGACACTATCCATACAAAAAAAGTTTTAAAATTAGATTTTGGTACACAGTTACCAGCTCCAGGCAGCATCTTGTCAAAGCCCTTTACTTTTATTCTATGGTTCCCCCCAAACTCCAGACGCCATTTAGAGTTTTTTTTTTCTTTTTCTTTTTCATCATAGTCTCTATTTAGTCCACATATAGTTGTTAAAAAATAGGGCTGCGTTTGGTCATTCTGATTTTGTCTGTCTTGAATCCAATATTAGATGATGAAAAAGATGTTTCAAGCCCAGTATTGAACATCTTTTCAGTGATCTAAAGATTACAGCTTTTCACCTCTCACTTTTCCAGAAAATCTCAATGTTTTTTGGAGGTAATTATATATAATCTTTTCAATGTCTTTTCAATCCTTGTTTTCAATGTCTTTTCAATCCTAATTATATATAATCTTTTCAATGTCTTTTCAATCCTTTTTTGCTCGGTTGGTTGATTTGCAGATTGTACTAGAAGCATATTTATTTTTTAGTAATACAATCTGAACAATTAGATGGCTGAACAACTGAATAATGTTTGTGGCACCGTTACATCAGAAAGTTAAAGTAAAAATTAGGAGTGAGTATTGGCAAAGGTGTTGTGATACTTGTCATGTCTGGTCACAATAGGATATTATCAGGATCTTGCAATATATAGTATATATTGCTATATTTTGCCTAGCTATGAAATAAATACAGATAAAAAAAGCAAGTGCTGGATATGTTCATCAGATGTTTGGGGTTTGAGTCAGTCCACATCTTTCGCTGTGACTGCCTCGACTACAGAAATTGCTCTGCGGTGCACAGCAAAAGGGCTCTACGGGGCTATTTACTGTACCTGAGTGGAGGTAGCCCATTTTCCCTCAATGCCTTAGATTTTTTATAATTTCTTTATCGATATTAGGAACCGAAAGATCGATATATTGAGAAGCCAAAAATCACGATATATCGCCAAATAGATTTTTTTCCCCCACACCACTCAAAATAAATATCTACCCATACCCAGAAGGGAAGAAAGGAGGGAAGGAAGGGAAAGCAGTGTGTTAACCCTATGTTCTTTTTTTCTTTGTTGTGTTGGGCAGCCATTTCTAGTCCTTTGACTGTTTTATGTGATAGGCTCACTGGTGTTGACTCTCTAGCCACCGGCACACACAAAAAGACTAGTTTCAGCTTTTGAAATGGGGCCAAAGTAGGGAATCCAGCTTTAGCTTTGATCTTCCAGAGCACCTCACTGTGCCGTTCTACTGTTGTTTTTGTTAGAGCCAGCTTTCTGTTTAAGCTGTGTGTGATGTTCTAAATGTCTGTGGCAGCATTGCAGAGGCTTCCTGCTGAGTCTGCCGTCACATATTAATGAGATGCCATGTGTGTGGACAATGACTGCCAGTGTGTTGATCAAGTACCGGTATAACATTTTTACCTGATGTCAGTGTGATAAGGTTTGAAAACGACAGCCTTCTCTACCTAAACATTGATTCCTTATCTTCCATTTTTTTGGATGAGCAGACATTTTTGTGCTCTGAGTGGAAGCTGTTCCCCAGAGCAGAATGGTTTCACCATCTGTCTGTGCCGTGTCCTGTGATTTCCCTCTGTAATTCAGACAAATGTCAGACTGTGGGTTGGGAATGACCTTTGAACAACTGCTCCAGACCTTCTCAATTCATGTTTCTTCTTAACGCTCCTCATGAGCCCTCTATCACATTTTGATGCTATTCAGGTGTGCTAACATTTAAAGCAAAAGTGCTGCATTTTCTATTTCTATTTTGGACTTTTTTCTTTTTCTTTTTCTTTTACTACACCCACAAACTTCAGTGTTCTCTGATTAATACACTGGCAATAAATGGCATAGAATTGTAAAACTCAAGGGCAATTTTTTTATTCATTTTACTAATTAATAGTGAAAAGTTTACCCAATTTCTAAATCTTTGCATTTAAAAGCTTTGAGTTTTTGTAAGCATCTTCCAGCTTTACACATCTAGTTACTAACATTTTTCTCAAATTCTTGTCTTTTATTCTTCTCAATAATTTAAGATCAGTCAGATTGGACTGAGAAAGTCTTTGAAAGCATTTCAAGTTTGAACTGATTCATCATATAAACAGGCTTAACTATTATTTTGTAGCTCTGTTTCTTTATTTAAGGTTGTTTTTCTGCTGAAAAAATGATATTTGCATTATTGTCTTTTTTGCAAATATATACCTGCATCACTGTGATGTAATCAAGATGATGCACACATTATTATCCATCCACATTACGGTATTTAGGTTGGGCTATAAAGTAAGTTCTGCCCTTTTTGTCAATAGAAATGCTCATGTCTTGATAGGTTTTGAGACTCTGCCTTATTTTCTATATAGATATCAAACCACTTTTTGGATGATATTCATTTTGCTTTTTGATGAAATTGTTGTCCATAAAATCTCTAATGCTTTTACAGTAGAGCTGCATTTGTCTTGGAAATTAACTCCAAAAACGGTTTCTGTTCATTAATTTTATAACTTCAAAATTGTATTTAAAAGATTTTATTCAACTTCACAATTATACAGTACTTAGAGCAAGGCTACCACAAAAAGTTGGAGCCTCCTAATCATCACATCATCAATTGTAGTTACGATTGCTGCTGACATATTACAGCAAATCTCTTGTTTTACACAATGTGCAACTGTTGTTTCTTTGTGTGCTAAACTCTCTCCTCTCTGTGTTTTACAGTATAAGGGCCAAGCCAACCTACACGTATTTGAAGACTGGTGCGGCTCCTCTATAGACCAGCTAAGAAAGAACCTGCACTTCCCTCTCTATCCTCATGTAGGTATTAAAGTGTGAAGATAAAATGTCACTGAACAAAGGGTACAATAGTGGCAGCTGTTATCTGTGACAGATAGTAAATTGAAAAATTATTAGCCTGTAAAAGTAAGTGGTTTTTAAAATATAGGCTTTTACATGGTGTCTTGTTGCAGCAATACAAAAGGCTAGACTGCATAATGAGATGTTTGTGTTCTCTGTTGCTATGACACATTTGATGGAATAGAATCTTTTTTACTTTATGCGCATTGAGATGAGAAGCATGAGACATTTTCTTTTTGTCAAAGGTTTCAGTTTAAACAGCACAGACTGTGGCAATTGATCTAAAGTGGAGACGGATTCAGTCATGCTTCATTTGCTTTGGCTTCATTTGTTTGACCAGTTGTCCCTCCAGCACAGGCAATCTCCGTCATGTACTGAATGTCCCTCTTGTGAGACATGAATGAAGGTCCCGAAGTTGTCATAAAATTCTCACCAGGGCTGCTTTTGTTACATTCAAAGATTGTTGTTTAAGATGTGTATATTGGTTAGTGGCATTTTGTTTTAACACTGATGGAGAACATGATATCCTACCACAGCTTATAAGGGAAGAAAAAGTTTCCAATTTGCTTTGCTTGTTTTCTAAATTTGGAAAAGTGTGGAAACGGAAAGCAGAGTTATATATATATATATATATAAAAAAAAAACGCATTTTAACTTCCAGACCTTTGTTTTGTATAACAAATCAGAATTTCATGATCAAGTAAAACTTTTTGTTGTGATTTATTGAATGACAGTGTATCTGAAAATTACTGCATACTCTGGAAAAATTCAACAAAAAAAGTAGAACTTAACAGGCTTTATATTTTATATTTATAAATAAAGACAGAATGTGCCCTTAAAGATATGTAAAGATAAGGCAAAGACTCTTAGAAAGCTTTACACCTGTACTAGGAAAGGTCTAATATTCAAAACGTAATAATATGCAGGCAGAGAGAGAGAGAGAGAACTCCTTTGCTTGTGTCGGAAACGTTTGGAAAAATTACAAATTAGATTAAATAGTTTTGTAGATGTGGATAGATATGGAAAAGCAAATAAGTAGAGGTATATATTTCTGTTCCCAGACTTTATTTGCTATAATTTTCTGAATATTGTGTCTTTCCTTCAGCTTATCTCATATTTCCCTCTCTCCTTTATCTGACCTTTAAAGTCTTTCTTCTTTCTTTTTTCCTTTTGTCCATTTTAGTTTTAAATCCTCATCTCCTTCCTTCCTTCCTTCCTTCCTTCCTTCCTTCCTTCCTTCCTTCCTTCCTTCCTTCCTTCCTTCCTTCCTTCCTTCCTTCCTTCCTTCCTTCCTTCCTTCCTTCCTTCCTTCCTTCCTTCCTTCCTATTTGTTTTTCTTTACACTTGTCCTTGTGTCCTGTATATCCTGTCTGTTCTCTCTATCTGCTCTTTGTCCTTCCTGTTTCATTCCTTCCTTTAATCCCTATTCATCTCCTCACAATTATTCTTCCTTTCCTTCATGATTTTCTTCCATCTTTTCTGTCCCTTTCTCATTCTACCATGATTTTGTCTTTGCATCTGTCCCTCCATCGTTCTGTTTTCCTCAGGGGAAGTAGTGAAGTTACTGAATACATGTACAATAAGACGTTTTAACCTGTGGATACATTGTGCTATGGAGCCATATTGTGTTTAAGACAACAGGATGATCCATCTATTGGAAAATATAATGGAACATAGTGACATTGTTATTGAAGATGACAATATCGCTGTATAACAGCTTCACTGACCAAGTGAATTCACACATACTATATAGCTTGAAAAAGTTCTGTCTAATGGTTGAATTCATGGAATTAGAACAAAAAGTTATTTTGGTGTCCTCTGAAAACAATTGTGTGCTGAAAAGAAAAAATGAACAATGATTTATCAAAAACATCCCACAGTTCTTATTATAGAACTGACAAAGATGCCTGAACAATGGAGTAAGTGGAGCAACCATGAACTCCACCTGCAGTTTTTTAAAGCATAGAGCAAGCTTTCCTTTTTCATACAGCCGCAATTTGACCCGGTAGAAAAGAAAAGTCATGGGTAGAAATCAGATAGAGCTACTATCATTATCTTATTGTTAGTAAAACAGATTCATAGTTCACATCAAGTTGAAGAATAAAGACAGAGATATACTTAAAATGATATCAGGATTGTTTTATAGACCTTATGAATTATTCCCCAAAAACTATGAGATTTTTTTTTACCTTTCTACACATTCATCCCTTTATTGCAGCACATTGAAAGTGGAGTTTCACTGTAATCATTAAATTAGAGAAGAAAAACATTATTGTTTCCTTCTAAACAGGCCTTTAACTCCATGTTTTCAAATCTCTATCAAACCAGACTGACCTCAAAGTGTTGTATTCTGTTTATCCTGCTTTTAATTTTGCTTTTTGTTATTTTGAGAAAAGAGTAAAACAAAAAAATATAAACAGTGAAAGATTTCATATTGCTTTTGTTTGATTTGCAACAACTTATGAGACTTTATATCTCTTTATTAATGAAATAACTATTTTTCTTGCAGACCAGAACCACAGTAAAGAAGCTAGCGGTGGCTCCAAAGTGGAAGAACTATGGCTTGAGAATATTTGGTTTCCTTCACCCTTACAAAGACGGTAACAAGCTTTCTTTTCTCAGCCCCTGATATGAGAGCCTTAACGCTTGTGTCCTTTATCAGAGCAGGCAATTTCCTCAGCCCTTTTAATCCGAAAGCCTTCAAGCCACTAATGTAGTGGATATTCACATTTTCATCTTGGCTCAATGCCTGAATCTTACAGCTAAATCTTGCTTCAGTCCCCTTATGGTCCGGCACTGAAATCCAGTTGCTATGGGAACAAAAACCCCAAATGTCCAAGTGCCCTTACACAAATTGCTGAACTCCAGCTATTAATTAGATTACCATTCATTTTAGGCTCTCATATGGCTTTAGCTGGTAGTATGACTCTATTGAGTGGATGGTGTGAAGGTCATGCTGTTCTCCGGATCACTGTAATACCCCTTTACCTTTATCATTTAAGTCCAGCTGAAAAAAAAATATGACTAAGTAGACGTCAGGTAACAGTGCACTTAAATCTAAATCTCTGTTATGGATATCTTAATACCATAATGACATACTTAATAGTGCAACAAGGAACATTGTGTAAATTTAAATAATTGTTCTGTGACATTAAATCCAAAGTACTTTGAATTTAAAAGATATGCATAAGCCCTGCCTACAAAGACAGCACTGCCCTAAAATATTCAGCATAAAAATGTGAAGTTTTATTTTTTTTTTAAGTTTAAACCAACTTAATACACTAATCTGAATAAGTGTTAATGGGTTTTATTCTCTGTTAACTAGGAAATTGGATGGTTCACAGAAGTTGATCTTGAGAGTAAAGAGCACCCCCATGCTGATCTGGTCGTTTTGGCTATTTATCTTTGTAAGGCAACCTTGAGTGCCATAAAATATGCCTTTTAATAAGATTTATTCTTATTATTTTCTCCAGCTTCATGTTTTACGCTATATTTATTAAAATGTTACAGCAGAGCTTTCAAAAATTTCCTCTAGTGAAATTAAATCTACAGGACAGAACAAACACTCAAACAAACACATAAATCGGTTGAATTTTCCTTCATGAGATATGAGCCAAACTCCAGGGGTAATCAAGTAAGGAATTTTTTCTCAGTTTGGCAAACTGTGTCCATTGATTTGCAAAAGTTTTGGATTTACAATGTAGCTGTGACAGCATTTCATGCATACCCAAATACTCCAGAGATTAAGGCAAAAGGTTACGGTTTTCATCAGCATAGATAGGCTTACTTGTATAAGCTTGGTCATGAAACAGCCTTCTGCTTGTCCTTTACTCGAAACAAGCAGTATTTAAAGAAATCTCTTCCCTGACTGACCTCCTACATTTTCAGATTATATTTTCACGTTATTTACTCGTATTTTCTATTCTTTATTTATTTCCTCTGGACTGGTGCTATGCATTTTCTCTCACAAGTACACCATTTTGTATTCAGTCTAGTGGCTGTAACACTTTCTTTATGATTTTAACCAAATGAGCCACAGACAGTTTAGGCACTATATGCTGATATCATTTTATACCTGAGAACTTCTTTTAAAAAATCTTGTCTTGTCTGATTATGTTGCGTACCAATGGGGGGTCATCCTTATTTCTTCCACTAACACCCACTTTGATCATGTTCTACCCCCTGCAGGTGATTTCCAGTTCTCTGTATCGTCTGATGATAACTCAGAGTTCTGGTTGAGCCCTGATGAGAGTCCTCTCAATGCCAGACTGCTAGTTTATGTTGGCCAGGTGAGCTTTCATCTCAATGAACCCTACCCCTGCACACACAAACCATAACTACTTAAAATATGTGCAATGTACTTTGCTGGCTTGTTTTTATTTTTTGCACCTAAATATGTTGCTAAATTAAAAAATCACTTTGAAAAGACATCAGATCTCAACTAGAAAATAAGCTGTCCTGGATATCTATATTGAAATGGAAATAATATCATGTTTGAATCAAAGGGACACCATATAATTTAAAAGAATAACTTAATTCCACATCACAAAGAAATTACTAATAGAAATACTGATGCAGCATGCAACTCCAAATTACTGAACTGTTATTGAGGCAACTCAATAACATAATCAGTTATTTGTAAGAGTCCCACATTCTTGTATCCATACCTGATGACATCAGTGCACCTTACTTTTAACATGAGTTTTTTACCCCTAGTTCATGAACATTTGTAAATTGTTGTGAATTGGTGTTATATAAATAAACAACTGAATTAAAACAGGGCATTACTAAGTTTCTGGACAGTCTTAGGTTCAACCTTGTTCCATGTGAAGGAACCTAAACATGATGCTCTGGAGTCGCTCTGTTAGATAAAGTCAGGTGAACACAGTAGCCATTCAGTGGTAATTATCCTGTTATTTTTAACAATGAAGAAAATATGAAGTCCTCATGTGTCACACTCTTGCAAACCTTTACCACTGTATTATTTTTGATTTACTTTAAAAGTGAAGGTTCTAACAATGCACCCAATGATTTTATTACTGCCTACTGGCAGGTTTTATTTCTATTTTTTAAACTTGACATTTATTTGCACAATTTCTGAGCATATACAGAACAGTTATTATTAATGACAGTGCTAGAAGTGGCATAAAAACCCCTCAATGAGATTATGCCGAGTTTACGCTTATGGTTAACAATAAACCACAGGCAGTGCTTTTGTTTATCCTTTGCAGGTCTGTGCGTTCGTCCTTGGACATGCCTCCCCATACAAACACTGACCAATCCACAAACTGATTATGCTGAACAGTACAAGCAGCATAACATTTATCGTTGCTTCTTCAGACCCTTTCACATGTCTCCCATGAGCTCAGGGTTAACCAGCTCTCATCAGTGAAAAAGAACTCAGCACCAATACCCTAACCTGTCAATAACAGTGTTCTCTCAAAGATGCCAGTGAGCTCCACAGTGCCCAGCAGTAAGCAGAGGGTTTACTAGGGAATGTCAGGTTCTCAGGCCACTCAGAAACTTGGTATCTAATATTGCAGGCTTACTGTAAGGTTTCCTTTATTTGGCCGGTAGAAGGTCCCTTCAAAAGACTGGCTGGGCAGGATCTTGTTTCTCCTTGCACAAAAAAGCAGATCCCAGTTTTGCTGATTAGTTGAAGACCTTCAGTGGTTCTGTCCAACTCTCCTATTGTAGCTGTCTTTCTCTTAGAATCAGCCTCATGGTGTTAAGACCGTGCTGCAAGATATAGCAAGCATTACAGCAATAGGAAATATTATTATGCCTTCCTCTGAGACCACAGGGCTGAGGTTTTGTCCTCATACTACCAGTAGATAGTACAAGGCAAATACAAAACCAAAGAGATCAAATAAAAAAAACATTGAAAAGGATTAAAAAGGAATCTGTGGCTTCCACCTGTAAACCATCCCTATTTTTAAGGTCCCATTATTGTTGCCCAGTAAGGAAAGCTGTTGTTAATTTTATTACCACAAAACCACTCACACTGATTAAAAACCCCCTCCACTAACCTGCTGAGATTAATACTGCAGACGTTTTAGTTTGTCCGACCTGATATTATACCTTAATTTAGTATTTTTTTAATTTGTTTGAGCATTTATTACTGAAAAAAACTAATCTTGTTCTATGTCGATTAGTGATGTGCTGCTGAATTGATTACCGGGTTTTAGCTTACAGGATTTTACTACAAGAATATCTTAAATTAGTTGACATTTCTGAATATTAAGTAGGAAAACACGTTTTGTTTGCATACCCTTGCAGCATTTAAATTAACCAATCACCTACAAGCTGCTAAGAACCCAAGAGGGTTAAACTGCAGCTTTCCCATTCTATCTGTCCTTAGTTCTGTGAGTGAAACTTAATGAATAATTCATTTGTTGTTCATTGGTTTGTTTTTTATTGAATACCCCAATATGATTCAGAAAGAAGTGTGTATGAGACGAAGCAAGTTTATTTATATAGCACAATTCAGTACAAAGGAAATTCATAGCTCTTCATAGTGCTTTATTAAACAATAAAATAGAAGGAAAAGAAAAGCAGGATAAAAGTAAGTGAAGACACAAACATGATAAAAGCAGGTAGTAAAACAAAACAGTTGGACCACAAATTTAAACTAATTGGTTGTACAATGTTCACCCTGTATGACACACATGTGTTTTAAGAGCAGGGATCCTGCTATAGTACCATCTGTATTCCAACAGGATGCGAGATGTCAGCGAGTTCCATGGGAACTGAGATTAATTAGCTGCTGGTGACTATTGATGTGACATTTAGCAGTGGAGAAATCATCTATCTCGTGGCAGACGAGCAGTAGTGTGCCAAGGAATCATTCATTCTGCCCGCTGGCTGACTGACAGGCATCAGTGCCCTGACTGTCTTCTGAGACATATTGTGTTTCAAGGGTGAAAATCTAAATGTCCTCTCCCTCTCTCCATATGTGACATGGATGTGCAGTTTGTTGGAGCTCATAGGGGAGAAGTTTTCTCCTAGAATATGAGGATATTGTCCTTTTGGGTTTTTCCTTTTAAAAAGTCTAAATGTAGCTCTAAAACAAGATTATTCGAAATATTAAGTTATGCCTTTTGAATTTAGAGAACATGCAAAAATGTAAGAAATATATTTCTCCGAGGAGGAAATATTACGGTAATGCCAGCCTCACTTTAAGTATCTAATCTCACAAAATTATCAAATTGTTGTCCTGGTACATTTTTGTGTTTATGGTTTAAATGACTCACAGCTATTAATAAAAAGAACAATAAATTAGGGCAAGCACATGCAGTATGTATGTATGTATGTATGTATGTATGTATGTATGTATGTATGTATGTATGTATGTATGTATGTATGTATGTATATATATGTATATATACATACATATATATATATATATATATATATATATATATATATATATATATATATATATATATATATGTATGTATATATATGTATATATATATATATATATATATGTATGTATGTATATATATGTATATATATATATATATATATATATATATATGTATGTATGTATATATATGTATATATGATATATGCATGCATTTTTCTTCTATATCAGTTGTCACAACATTTGAATCCTTGATACTGAACTTGCTATAAATGGAACGTGCTGCTTGAGATATTTTTCTGACAGGGCGAAAGGATGGGAGCTTAAGCATTCATGTGACGTTTCCATGGAGACCTCTGTCAGCATTTTGTGTTGAGCTTACGTATCGTCTGGTTAACATGACTGATCTCCCAGTGGGATACCTTAACAACTGCAGAAAAAGCTGGATTTAAATCACTGTTACAATGCAGCATTTTTAAAGACAGAAATAAAACTGAATATGCTTGAAGCATGGGCTTGTTTGTGCACATTCTCTCTTTGTAAAAAAAAAAAGTTGGAATCATATATTCATTTCAAACTATATATTAAGCAGACAGTGAAATAGTATTTAATGCTGTTTCTCAACTTCTGTAATTTTAGGAGAAAGCAATACTCTAATTCTACTAATTCCTTCAAAATGTTTTACTTGTGCTTAAGAGCGATAGCACAAACATTTAAAGGGAAAAGTGAAACCAATATTTCCATTGTTTCTTGAACAAACAGCCAAAATGGTGAGTTAAATGGATTCCAAAACACCAGATTGGGAGCCGGGCCATTACACTTAAATTTATAACAGCTTTGTTGTCCAGCTACATCTTCAATAACCTTATGTTATGGTCATTCCAATATGTTGGGATTGAGTTTATTGAGGTGTTAGCACTAACATTAGTTTGTCCTCTTTCTCTTTTGGCATGGACTTTTCATTGCTTCAGGCAACTGGTTCAAATTACATTTTGACATTTAAAAGCAGCTATAGATCTTTCACTGTTTATCAGGAATCCATCATGAGAATTACTTGTGTGACGCTGAATGCCTTTATCCCAGTTTCACTATGCAACAAACACTTGCCCGACTTTTAGAGGAAAGGGCTCAAAATATAGAAAACCCTCATGTCACATAATTACTGTCTAAGGAAAGTTATGTCTCAGAGCACCAGCTGAAAATCTGCTAACCTCTTTCAATATGTGTTGTTTAACCAGCAGTTGTGACATAAATAAATACAAGTGCAAGTGATATTTTTCACTTCTCTGCTGTACTAAGATCACCTTTGATGAATTTCAGCCTTTTATAGTAAATATTGTTCTCAAAAACAATATGCAGATTTCTCAGGCCTTTTACAGCAGTTTCAGGATTTTAGGTTTTTACCTTTCATCATTGCTCTTTGGGAAATACAGTATGAAGTAAAAATGTTTATTATGTTGTTTATCACTTCCCCTTAGAAGTCTTTATTCAAAACATCAGTATTTTCATCAATTTTTCAATTACTGTAAGAAAAACATGAGAGAAAACAGAAAATGCTCCAAAGACTTAAACTCAAACATCCCATAAGTTGGGCAATCCATCATAGTGACCAGCTTAGCTTTTCCTGCTTTAATTCTTTCTGACTTACCGAGCACATCCTGTTCCATTTAAAATAACCAGCCATGATCACCAATTGATAATGTAACTTTTAGAACAACAGAAACAGACAAGAAGACAATTGTGATGGATTACCAGGCTAAAAGCAGTTTAAAGTGTCTGCTCGATAATTTCTAGCTAGTGATAATAAAAAAGGCTGGTTTAATGGAATGCAAAATATTCTAAAGTACACAATTAATTTAAGTTTTTCCTGATGAGAGCAATATGCAAAGAACTGTTGTGTCTTTAACAGCTTTTCACTACATT